TATGATAATGATACATGCATTTAAGTGTCAATAAATCTTACAATGATTTTTCAGGTCACGCTCAAAGCCACTCCATGCGGAACTATGCAAACGCCAATAAAAAGAACGTAGAAGACAAAAAACACACAGAGACCGCAACTTGTATCGCTTTCAAAGAATTTTGAAGCACCATCGAGTGCTACGTGCAGACGGCGCGGTTCTCAGCATACTTGGGTACATCGTTGCGCCATTATACGTTTTATTAGTTTTTATTGTTAAGCTTTTTGATGCATATTTGTTTTAGATATAGCCTTAAGCGTGTTTTTTTGCAACAAATCATCGGTATTCGTCTACTATTAAATAATTAACATATCCCGTATGAAATATAATAAAAATCCAAGAAATTTTATTTGAGCGACAGTTGGTACTTTTGATCGTGAGGATCATCATCTTCTTTACCATTGAGTTACGTGTAAATTACATATTTTTTTTGCATTCGTTTTAGCATTAACACATCTCCATAGACCTATACTAGTATGTCACATTTTTTATGTACAGATTACTAGTAAGTTACCTTAAGTTAACAATACAATTTATATGTTAGTGGGATATTCCCATTACTGTATATAGATCTGTTATTGTAAAAGAAGAAGCCTACAGGTAATACACGCAAGTTAATCAAGAGTTCGTATGGAGCTTAATTTCTAATTTACCATTTCTTGCAATAATTAGGTACCAAATAGACAATATACTCCAAAAATGATACCACTTTTATTGTTCCACTAGTATTTCTTTTTTATTTATTTACATATTTCATTCAAAAAATGGTATATGTCAAATTAATAAATCCTTTTTCTGTAATATAGTATAACAGGGATTCCTAAAGTACATTCCGCGGAACTTAGTATTCTGTACGAACGTCACCAGAGTTCCACGAATATATTTAATTTTGTCTGCTAAATGATAGGCTAGTTAATATTATTTTGAAATAATATCTATAAAAATAAAGTAAATAATAAAATATTTTACTTTTAAAATATTTCTAATAAGAGCTTTTGTTTTTGATTTGTAATCATTTGAACAAACTATATATGAGTTCCATAAAATAAAGGTATTTGGTGAGTATTCCGATATCTTAAAAGTTAAGAAACCCCTGCAGTATATAATTTCTATGGAGCCATTACCATACTGCCCTTCACGGGCTATATGACAATATCGTCTTTAATTTTGCCCATCATTAACGTTATTAATTTACAAAATAGTACAATACTTTAGTCACTTCTACCGATATTGTAGGCATGAGAAAGGGTGGTACTACATCATATTTATACCCTGTTACTACAGAAATATCAATATAATTCTTTACTATATAACTAACACTCTATGAAGAATGAGAAGATTGAGCAATTTTAGAATATAATTATATGTACCTAATACTAACTTTTTTCCGTTACTTTATACTCGTAGATTTTAAAAGTAGTAAAACCAATTTAATAGGCTACTTCTAGATGGCGTAATTAAGATGTCTTAATAGTGAAAAATACATCCAATTTAGTGCAGTAGTTTTTGCGTGTTATTGGAACAAACATACAAACAGAAAAAGTTCTAAAAATTACAGTTTTAGATTTATTGATCTTATTAAGACGCCTCATATTAATTTTTCTTAAATATTTCTTATGTACAGACATCATCTATTTACAATTTTATTATATTAGTAAGATAAGATTACAATATATTAGTAACTGAATTCAAAATATTTTCTACATATATGCATTTTAAAGTCGTCCTAACCTACATGTGTACATAATCATCAGATCGTTCGAGTATTATGAAACTGGGTCGATGGGAGTTAGGGAGACCAATGCATGGCGCAGCACATCTCACCACTCCAGACTCTGTTCATGAGCTCCTTGACACATTGTTCAAACCACCCCACATACCTACAATTCCTACATTACCTCATTTTATGGCGCATATACACCTACATTTACTACTTTACGACCGTAATTTTATGAATGTACACAAGCAAACGATGAGGCTAAATCTCTCTAAATCCTGTATGCCAATGTAAACCATATACAGAGTATTATCATAATTTAGAATATTATTCACGTATAGCTCAAATAATAGCTCATAACTCTCATATATATATACGAGTATATATATATATATAGAAGGTTGGAATATTTTATTACAATATTTACTTTAAAAATAACTAAGTAAATTTTATTTAAATTCCGCCTCTTTTTGAAATTAACAAATTGACATTAACATTGACAAATTATATAGTAATATTTATAAATAAAATAAATACTTTGCAATTAAAAATAATACCTAAAGTAACAATTTCATTTTAACACCTAAATACGAGCGAGTAAGCAAATCTATCCAAAACTACACAAATATTAATTTCTTTCAAAGGAATTAAATTCAAGGGTCGGTATATTACTAAATAAAAAAAAAAAAATTACGGCATCAAATATTATACGTCAACAATTCTATTTTAACAACTAAGTACGAGTGACAAGGAAAATCCGTTCAGTACAAAACTACATTGTCGATGCGTGCTATTTCCAGTAATACGTTTCGATGAACTTTTTCAATAGAGAGCCCCTTCGATAGATCTCGGGTGCCTTTTTCTGAGAATAAACTTAACTTTTCTCACATGTTTTCAGCCTTAGACGAGCGGAAGGGTGCAATAGTAGTAAAAAGACATCTTAACTAAGCTAATACATTTCGAGCAACTGTATCGATATCTACTTAAGAGTAGTGATTATCTTATACTTTCTATCTTGTTCACTACTTTGCTAAATATATTCACGATAAGTGTAACAAATTAGTTAATATTACTATATATGTTCTAAGCTAATTTAACTATATAATTAAAATAGATACATTTTATAACTTAGAACTCAAAACCAAGGTAAAATGAGGTTAAATGTTTCTATAAGTCTAAATAGTTAAAATATTGAATAACTGTAGTTTAATATTCTATTCAAATTGTGAACTTATCAGGTAATATAAAAAATTAGCTAAAATTTTGATAAGTTGACAAAAAAATACTATTATATACTGTACCTTTATATATGACTATAAATTTTCAGGTATCACCCATAAACTACGTAAAATTTTTATAAACTCTACTTATCTATACAGTTACAATCTGATAAGCTATTACCACCCAATTACCATTTTATAAACATCGATCTTAGTGTTTAATCGATGTCAATAAAATTTAAACTGAATTCACAGCAACGTGAGCAATACCCAATATAGCAATCTCCGATGGCAATTAAGACTACGCCAGCCGTACAAGCTGAACGAATGGAGCTCTTCAATCAACGAATCAATCAACAATCGCGAATGGTCGCCACTTGCCAGCGACAGCTGAACAAATTTATTGCTCCGAATGGGGGTAATTTTCAAATTTCGAAGCCTGTTGATCGCCGTTCGACTGAAAGCACAACATGCTATGTGACTACTAGTGGCAAATTAACTCTATTACTTTGTAGTCGTCAGCTATTTATTCCACATACCAAAGTAGGTGTTGCTCCAATCAGGGAAGATTTGTAAAAAAAATAGTAAGATAAAATTAAAGATTTTTTTTTCTAAGTCATAGATTCTACAGGATATGTTACCTATAAACTTACCACCTTCTACTTACTTCTTCTACCTCTTCATGAAATTTCTGTCAATTTTGACGTTCTTTTACATTTCATATAGTTCACTCTCATATTGTCCACATATTAATTTTATCTAAATTGATAACACTGTATTTATGCGGTTTTTTTTTTTTTTAATTTAATCATCAATTCTTAATTTTTGGTATTTCAGTTCTACTGTATGATTACAAGTAAACGTGAATTTATGAAAATACACATAGGTATGGAGATAAACTTAGAATAGATTGTAGATTTTACGACTTGTGATGATAGGCATTACGAGAGTGTAAATATAAATATCACCCTTGCTTTTGTAGTTCAGTCTACGGTTTAATTATGTACTTACAAAGTAAAAGTATCATAGCTAGTTCGACAGATACCTACAATAATATTTATATACGTATGTAGGAAATAACATAGCAGAGCAAGAAGGAACTAGATTATTACATAATTCTGTCTAGTCTTCTTTCTATTTCTATTGTACATTTACTTCATACTTGTACTATGACGTATATAATGTAACGAAATTGTTTTCTTTTTTTATTTACCTTTAATACAAAATTTTTATTAAGGTTTACGGTCTTATTAATAAGACCGTAAAACTTAATTTAATAAAAATTGCTTAAGCAATATCGAATATTTAATTAAATATTATATCAAACTCAAAAGTTTAAAATAAATTGTTTCGTACTTATTTTAAAGAAAAGAACAAATTGTACGTATTCAAAATAATAGAGATATAAATTCTATTATAAATATGTAGGTATAAATGAAATAATATTCATGTTCCAAATATCTACGTCGAGGTAAAATTTGAGCAGATGATCTTTCCTACAAGTACTTGAGCACGTAAAACGATAGTAAGTCGATACTCATCCGTGCCGAGTCATTAGGAGTTTGCTGGCTTAAAGCGCAGCACCATTAAAGCAAACGATTACTTGTGCTTCAGTGTTTGCCTGCCAAAACCACTCGAGTCCTTTACATTTTATACTTACGCTTCAAAACTCTTTTAAAAACACACCTGACTACGCATAAAGAGACATTATAATTGTAAAGAACATTGTAACGTAATAATAATTTATTAAAATCTAATGAAAATTTAATTTATAATATTACAACTCGAGAAAGTATTATTTAATATAATATTTCTAGTATCCTTTGATATTAAACTGTAATATGTTTTTGCACAACTAACCTACCAGCTTTTAAAAATATATCTTATATTTAATTTTGGTTTATCTCATCTGAACCTACTATAAAAATATGTATTGGAATCATTGTCCGTAAACTATGACCATTTACGACTTGATAAAATTGAATGTACCTTTATTTATATGATCTAAATAAAACTGCTACAACTATTGCTGTCTACGATTTATTACGTAAAAATCACCAGTCAAGGCCCAAAATGGCTTAAATACACTTTAGTGTTTACAAAACAAGTGATTTAAACTATCGCAGTCACGTAGCACGGAGCCGCTAATCTTGAAAGTTTCCGCCCGTCCCTCAGCGACCTCTTACAAAGATTTACCTGAAAATAATAGAAAAAGGCGTTAATTTACAGCACTGGATACGAGCCAAACATTTCAACTAGCCGTCTAAGTCCGTCTGTAGCAAAATGAATGAAACAAGTGGACATTTAGATGGTTGTTGTTCCTGATCGGTTATCAAGGCGAGTTGAGAGATGGGCTTAGGTGCGAACAGACAATATAAAACTCATTTATATCCCGTCATCGTGACGCGAGAGGCGTGCCAAGGCGTTTTCCAATACGCTCATTTATCACACCGCCCCTCAACATAATGAGACGCATCTCAACATACGCCCGAAATATTTTAAATTTATTTCTTATTAAATATTTTTTCTGATAACTGTAATGATGTTTGGAAATGAAGCGAAGCCGTAATCTGTTTATCGATGCTTACGCTGAATTACATTTTCATATATTTTACACAGTTCACTACACGATAGTATCAAGCGATGAAAAATTTCTCTAATTCATAACCATCACACCACCTACGAGATTTCTACGAAAAATAAATAATCAAAGTGCAGTCTTTGATATAAGAATATCTATCAATATCTAAGTATATATTTTTTTATCATTGCAGCTTACAAACTCTTTAAAACTTTATTTATTATACTAAAATGATATGTATAGTATTGAAGGTATTGATGACTAGATAGAATTTCGTGTACATATTAAGTCCAATTTATTGTTTTTAATTTAATACTATTACATTTACATGCTTAAATATTTATATGAATGTAACAGAAATATACAATATACTCGTATCTACTCTCTATTCTCTACAATTCACATCAGCGTTAGTGAGCATTCGTCATTTTATATCCCATTCTAAATATTTGATCTTTAAAATTAAGACATACTAACATATAAATAATTTACCCTTACTTCATACCACTGTTCAAATTATTTGCATCCTATGCAGTAATATTTCAATTAAATACCTTATTCAAAAAAACGTGGGTCGTAAAACAACAAAAAAAAGCTCATTTTATTTCAAGCACGCTATATTTTAAGTTTGAAACGCTCAAAATTTTATCTTTTATGTTTAAGTGTAAAAATTGTTCACTTCTACTGGTAGAAAACTTTATTAAAGATGCTAATTATTTTAATTTCATCCTGTATAAATGTTAATACAATATCAAGAGTGGGCTATTTTCGTTAGAATTGTCCTCGATGTCATGACCTCAACCTAATTTATCGTGGAGATAAACACATCTACATCTGTAACTAAAAGTACATATAACAATGCGGCTTCCTCATAAATTACTGATTGAAATCCCTACCAAATTCAGTAAAGAGACCATCTGTGTGAAAATCGTATTAAATTACATAACCATTTTCTCGAATTTCTCTAATGGAAACACTTAACTTTTTTTTAATAAATTGTAAAAATGAGTGAAGTTTAACATTTTTTTAAACACAACTACAAATACAATCTTAGCAAGATCTCGCAATATTTTCCAGATTTACTACCTAAAATATGTTTCGCTTCCTGTAATCTGAGGTCTTTACAATTATTACAAAGGAATCAACATTTTCTGCTATTGATTTTAACACATCAAAATATAAATATAAATAACTTATTCTTATCATAAAACTCACAAAATTAAGTGAAACTAAATATTCAACTGAAAGTATGTAGATACTAAAAAAAAAATTAGATATTTAAAAACATTGTCTGATTTGAAAATAATATACCATAGCGAATGACGTCAGCTTTGAGAAAATAAATCTGTATTTCGGATAAAACACCTACAACGCTTGTATAGTCTTATATCTTATATTCAAATACTCTTATACAATAAGAATAATCCAACATAACGCAACATGTCTGCAATAATTTTGATACGGAATTATACGTGGGACTTTTATATATATATATACCGTACATACCAATACTTTTTGTAGACAAAAATAATATTACAAATATCTTTAGTTTTATTTTCGTAACGTATATGTGTAATCCTCCATTGCCGGGTTTAATATAAATTTTAAACCTATAACTATTTTCTGAGGGAGCACTTTATTTAATATAATCACCCTTAGCTTTATACATAAACAGATTATCAAAGATATTTTATCTACATTAGTGTTTCTTAAAAAATGGAGTTGCAATTATATATATGGGGGTCGTGCCTACGATTTTTGAAAATAGAATCATAAACTTTTAAATTCTTAGATACACATTCATTCATTATAAAATTGGTTATGCTATACGCAGGCAAGATTTCTACAGAAGAACAAAAATCATATGTAATTTTTCTTTCTTCTATTAAACCATGCTCTTTAATAGAGAACATAAAAAGAACAGATATTAGCGAAAGCGAATTCAAAATAACAGTTCATTTATATCCAAAAGTATGACGTTGGAAACTCTTCATCAGTCTCCAAACATTTAAAAAAAAATACCAAAAAACTCCATTGCTTATCGTTCGGCCGTCAGTCACTGTCGTCCTCTTACACAAAAAAGTGATTTTCCACTACCCATGTAGCGTCAAACATTTAAAATAACGAGAGTAAGTCGTAATAGTCACATGACAGTCGAATCATCGGCCAACTAGGCTAACGCCTGATGACGCATGAGTCGGGAAAAACAAATTTAAATAAACCATAACAATATGCTCTCGGATTCCATTTCAAAAGATTTGTGTCTTTCAAATTCTGCAATAACATTATTCTTTTCAATGGACCACAAAACTCAACATTAGAATTCCGCATACCGCAGGGGGGCTCCTGCGGCTATTAAAATTGTTGCCAGATTTTTATACAGCTTTTTCCCATAATGTACGACTACAAATATGAGTAATAGGATAAGAAACAATATTATTATTTTACATTGTAACTATATATTTAGACAATTTAAATGTAGAATATTATACTATTATTCTCTTGTTTCATTTACGAGTTGGCTGTTTCCTGTAATTTTGGATAAAGTATATAATTTTATAAACTTTATATGTATCTAACAAATTTCATTCAAATCGCATCTTCAAACAGCTATCATCTAAACATCTTTACAAGCTTTCACATTCATAATATTAATAGAATCCAACATAATATAACACAAACTCGATTCACTTTGAAAGTCAATACAAAATTATTATTTATTGCTTTAATAAAACGCATTTAAATTGTGTACTTTGACTAGTCACATTTTCAAAGATTATACTTTATTACAATTCACATATAATTATTTTACCTATAATAAATTATGAAACTAACATGTCTTTCGTAGCAACAAAAATTCTGCATAGAAAAACTAATTGGTCACAACGTTAGGTTAGGTGATAGATGCCATTAATTAATCTCATTAATCAACAGCGTGAATGTAATCTGTACTCAATAACAGAATATTCACTATCTCGACAAGATAAGAACAGTCAACGGTCACGCGCACAGGGACGCGGGCGCGGCCGGTGCGTGCACAGTGACGCGCAGTGACGTCTGTGACTCTGACGTCACTCACAACCTCAGATGACTCCATAAAACATCGCGAAATAGCTATCAAACTCGCTCGTGGATACTGCGTGATAGTGATGAGTAGTAATTGCTGAATATCGAATATATCAACAGTTTGATAGAGGCCAGAAAAAATGTGATAATGATTTTTCTTTCTAATTTCCTCGTCACTGACGATCGTGACCACATGAGATCGTTAATTTTTCCATAATAGGTCTCGCCATATGAACTTAAAATATCGGTAATACCATTATAATTGACTAAGATAATCGATTTGCCATTATAATCAATAATGCGTTATAATACGTAAAACAAAATTAATGAACAATATTGTTTTGAACTAGAAATTGATATAAACAATATAATTGATATTGTTAATGGATTATATAATTACTAGCCGTCCCCATTTCGAACGGATACAAGACCTCTATATCAATGCCACTTATTAAGACAAAAACTATCCTACTTCTCAAATTGGAGCATTTAATACATATTTACAAAATTGTATTTAAATCCTTTGAATGGTTTTGTAGATTAGAGATTAAAGTGTGTAAAACTTCATATACCTACAGTATTATATTAGTATTTTTCGATAGGTTAATCAATATTTAGATTATTTTGAGTAAACAATATTGATTAATTCATAAATGATTTTTGGGCAATACTACTGCCTGATCCCATTTGTATTTTCCGTTCTATTTAAGACTATCCAAATAACAATAACTGGTAGGTGACGTAAAAAATGCTCGGAAATAACTGAATTTGTAAACAGTACAAGCAAATTTGAAAATACACGAGTAATCAAAATGCGATTCAATTTTATTAAGTCCAATACAAACACAGAAACAAACAGCGATATCGAACAATAGCATTCGTAGTCGTTTCTCAAAATATACGTGTGGAAATAAAATGATTATCCACGGTATTCGATGTAGGCAACATAAAATATTTGGGATTGATAATAAATAAAATTGAACATCGGATAAGTAAAGAATGATTACAAGTGTTCGAGAGTGCAAAGACGAGGGTTTCTCTCATGTGTAAGACTTTAGATACTAAAGAATATATTTAGATTACAAATATATACATATAAACTAGTAAATAGATAACTCAAAATATTGTTTCACCTTAACAAAATAAAATAAAAGACTATATAGAGTGATAAATACAAAATAGTCCAACACACATATTAATACATTTAAAATTATACTCTCTAAAGTAAAAAGAAAATATCCAGCTATTAGTATTACATTCAATTATTATTAGTGAAAGTGCTTTAAAATAATATGTACGCATTTAAATTACCCAAATAATAATCTGTTAATAATGCAGCAAAAAAAAGAAGTTTATAAACATACTACTTAGTATTCTAAACTCAAATAATTTCAATTTATATACGAAACAACCTATTCATCGTTATATTACTGCCCATTATTTACTAGTTGCATCCCTTTACTTCACCCGCGTAAATCAGTACATAAAGTATTCTATATACGAAGTTATTTTTATTTATTTATTTTAATTTTCATTAAAGAAAAACCAA